GGCCCCAGGGTCCCTGGCGGGGTGTCCTGAGCTGGCGGGAGCTGGGGCCTCTGGCTCTCCAGGGACAGGACGGGGTCTGGCCCCGCTTGGCACTGTGGGACCTGGTCCCCCCTCTCTCCTCTGATGGGGGGGGGCTCAGATTCGGCCTCACCAGCTGGAGGGCAGAGCTGCCAAGGCAGGACGCTGCCAGCTGGCACTGCGGGAGCCGCGTGGGACTCCACCCCAAGCGAGGAGCCTGTGGTGACCTCGGCCTTGCAGGCACCCCCAGCGCCCCCACCGCGGCGTGGACAATCCCCGGGCACGAAACCGTGGTTGTGGGCTGGGGGTGGCGGCGGGAGGGGCGCTCACAGTGAAGGCGGGTCGCTGTGGCCCCACGAGGCCGAGTGGATGAGAGGCCGTGGTCCCTTCTGGCCCGGGCGGCTGTGAGGAAGCCAGGCAGGACCGCCCAGCGCGAGCGCCCCGGACCGTGGGCTCGGCTTCTGCATCGCTCGCAGCCGGCTCTTTAAATTTAAAAAACCTTTAATCCTCACCCGAGGATGTGTTTATTGATTTGAGAGAGGAAGGGGGGGAGAGAGAGAGAAACATCATTGATCGGTTGCCTCCTGTACGCGGGGATGCATCCCACGACCAAGGCAGGTGCCCAGACCGGGAATCGAACCCGCCACCATTTCGTGTGGGGGACGACACTCCAACCAACGGAGCCGCCGGCCAGGGCAGGACGCCGTCTCTCTGAACGGCGTGGAAATAAGGCGGGAAGGGGGTCCCGGAGGAAGTGGCTGCGGGGGCAGGTCTGGGTTCAGGACGGCGCGTCTGCAGAGCTCGCCCAGGGTGCGTTCCGGCGGTCCTAATGGGGAGCCTGGGGCTGGTGGGTGCCCCCCGAAACTGCCAGTGGGCTCCCGCCCCCACCTCCGTGTGATCAGAGGCCCCTGGGAGTGTCGGAGGCCAAAGGGTCGCCTGGGCCGGAGGGTTAGATGGCCTCGCCTCCTACTTCTCGCCGAAACACGCCTGCGACACGTTGTTCTCTTCGGAGCGTGTCGGCAGTGTGAAGTCACGCAGTGACATGTGTGTCTGTCCTGTGTGCGCTGTGGGAGAAGCGGAGAGGGTGTGCCCAGAGCTCGGGCCAGCCCATGCCGGTCTCTGGGTCACAAGTGAGGGCCCCCCTCTTTTAAAACTTCCGTTAAATATTCCGGAACAAGCCCCCAGGGTTACTGGCCTACGACAGGGTGTCCCCGTGTCTGTGGGCCAGACGGCGGGACACACGAGACCTGCGGGGGCGGGGAGACCCGGCGGGGGGGGCAGGGCGGCGCTGTGCTCCACAGGGGTCACCTTCTCCAGAAATCGCACCCTGGGCCTCAGGGTTTTGGAAATGTTGGAACTACTGTGTTGCCGACGGAAATGACAAGAAAACACCATTTTCTTGGCTTGGGAAGGACGATGCAAAGTGTAGAAGCAGTAAAAACACAAAGCGTCAGGGGAAAGGTACCGTCCCTTTGCCTTCACGGAAGTTCAAGGTGCATCCGACAGATGATACGGCGACGAGAAGGCGGGCAGGGGGCCGGGAACCCCCGCAGCGCAGCACCCGGAGCAAAGGAGTGAGACCCTCGCTGTGCAGAGAGCTGTGGCGTGTCAGCCACGGACCCCCGCCGCGGCAGTGCGCACCCACGCGCAGGTCCCGGCGCGGGGTGGGGGGGTGAACGTCTGGTTCACTCGGGTTCACCCCTGCCGCGTGAGTCGATCATCAAACCCGTCCTCAGCGCCCGAACTGGCACAGGTTCAAGCCTCTGGTGGTGCCGGCACCTCCTGGGAACCCCGCGGGTGCTGTGTGCCGGGGGCCCGGCTGCCCACCCCGGGCAACGGCTCGGAGTTCCGGGAGTGGCTCCGAGGGAAGCGGGGGTGCGGACGGAGGTTCCTGTGTCCACGTGCGGGGACTGTTCGTCCAGTAGCCACTCTCCCGAGACCGACTGGCGGGCTGGCTGAGGGACGGTGGGTCCCCACCGTCCACACCCAGCGGGGAGGATGGAGGGGCGGCATTTTGAATGTTTAACGTGCTGCTACCACGCGGTGTTCGTGTTCTGTGGCTGCCAGAGCCCGGTGCTACAGGTGGGCGGCTTAGAGAACAGGTTATTGTCTGGAAGTTCCGGAGGCCGGGAGCCCAAGGTCACGGTGCGGGCAGGGCCAGCTCCCTCCGACGCTTCCAGCCAGGGGTATTCCTGTGTGTCGATGTCTGTCTCCAAATTCCCTCTCTTGAAGGGACGCCAGTGGCTCGGGCTGAGGACCCACCCTCAGAACATAATTCTAACTTGGTCCCCTCGAGGAAGCCCGGTCTCCAATCAGGTCACCCTCAGGTCCTGGGGGTTAGGACTCCCACACAGGAATTTGGGGGGACAGGACACACTTCCACCTCTAACACCTGCGTAATGTATCCTCACCTGAGGATACATGGATTGATTTGAGAGAGAGAGAAACATTGATCAGTTGCCTCCTGTACGCACCCTGACAGGGGATCGAACCCGCCGCCTAGGTATATGCCCTGACCAGGAATCGAACCTGCAACCTTGTGGTGCACGGGAAGGCGCTGCAAACCACGGAGCCACCGGCCAGGGCTGGGTAGTACATTCTGAGACAAGTAAAAGTGGGTATGACATAATCCCAGTGAGTGGTATTTTTTGTTGTTTGTTTTTTAAGAAAGGCACAGAAGGCGGCAGAAAATATGCAAATATTTTTGGATTGTGCGATTGCAGGGACATGTGGTCTTTTTTTATACGTCTGAGCACATCTCATAATTTTTTTGAAAGACGCTTTAAAAATAGGTCAAGGAACCTCCACTTCGAAAGACACTGGAGGTGGGGGGCCGGCTTCGGCTGGGATGGCGGAGGCCCCCACACGAGCAGGCGCAGTGAACAGACAGACATGCACTGTCCGGAGAGGGATATTTGTGGCTGGCCTTCCTCAGACATGCCCCGACCTCCCCCAAGGTGCGCTGTGGCCCAGAACCCCACCCCCCCCGCCCCAGAGGCTGGAGACAGCGGGGGGAGGGGGCAGGCCAGCCCCCGGGACGGCTGGACTGCCTGCACCCGAGGCCCCGCTGTCCTGGGCAGAGGTCTCGGCACTGGGGTTGTCCATCACTGGGCGACCTCGGGTGCCCTGAGCCTGTCGTCGTCTGATTTGCAAAACCGAGCATCTGGGGGCGGGGATTCCCAGAGCCGCAGCGAGGGAGGGTCTCCTCTGACGCTCCGTGGGAACCGCCTCCGCACCTTCCGGCACATTCTTTAGATGATCCTCGGTGGGGGCAGAGCCCCTCCACTGAACGACGCTGCGGTTTGGGGAGCCAGCAGACACTCGTGTGCAGCCCACGGAGACTGAACTGGGCGACGCTGTGGGGGGCCGCCGGGAGGTGGGCCCCGCCAGCCCGGCCTCGCCCACCTGGGGCCTCGGGCGGCCGTGGAGCACACGGAGCGTGGCCGCTCCGAACGGAGGTGTCTGGCGTGTGACGCACCCACCGGACTTCAGAGACTTAACAAATGCAAGAGAGCGCCCCAGGCATTTTTTTAAGAAATCGTTTATTTATGTCTGGAGGGGGGAATCGAGGGCGATAGAGAGGGAGGGAAACGTGGGTCTGTTGCCTCTCTCACGCCTCCCGCTGCGGCCCAGCCCGCAGCCCGGCGCGGGCCCTGACCGGGGGGACCCAGCTGGCGACAGGCCTCGGGCTGGCAGACGGGCACTCGGCCCACTGAGCTGTGCCGACCGGGGCCGGGAGTCGTTTAGGAGCTGATGACGCGCTGACTTGACTCTCTGGGGTTCGGGGGGGGTTGGGCACAAAGAGTATCTGTGCCCCTCGTTTCTTTCTGGTTTCTGCGAGTGCAGCTGGCAGGATGCGGGACGCTGCCCGCATGGCCTGTGTGGTGCTTCGGCCGGGCAGCGCCAGCTTGCACGGGGGCCTGGGGGGGAGTTTCGTGGCTCCTTAGCTGACCTTGTGGTTCTTGAAGAATGCTTGGACTTTTTTTTTTTAAGATTTTATTTATTTATTTACTTTTAGAGAGGGAAGGGAGGGAGACAGAGAGAAACATCAATGTGCGGTTGCTGGGGGCCATGGCCTGTAACCCAGGCATGTGCCCTGACTGGGAATCGAACCTGCGACGCTTTGGTTCGCAGCCCGCGCTCAATCCACTGAGCTATGCCAGCCAGGGCGTGGAGTTTTTTAAAATATGCCCGACAAAGGGACTGTCACTAGCACGAGGACAGAGCTGTTCCAGACGATTCACTGGAAAGACGACACGTGTTTCGAGGTGCGATTTTTTAAGTTTCAGCGCGGTGGCTGCCCTCTGTGCTGGCGCGGCTGGAGGTGGTCAGGGCATGGGACAACCGTGCGGGCTCACGCGGCACCGGGCAGCCCGGGGCCGCAGCAGGGCGGCGACTGTAGGGTGGCGTGGCAGACGGCCACCAGGCTCCGTGCAGCGACCCCATCTCGAGGTGTGGGGGCATCGAATCCCTGCATCATACGCCTGAGACTCACTGACCAGCGCGGGCCACGTTCGCTTGAATGCAATAGAAAAGAAAACCAGACGAAGGAGAGATAGACTCGGCGGTGGGTGGCCAGGGAGGCCTCCGGGGAGGGGTCTGGAGGTAATCGGGGTCGGCAGGAGTGGCCCGCCCAGGCGCCCAGAAAGTGGTTAAGCCGGGGGCCGGCTGCCTTGTCCCCGGGGGACACGTTTGGCCGTCCTGCTGCTGGCAGCTGGTGGCGTCTAGTGGGCGGGGGCCAGGGAGGCTGCTGGCCACCCTACGAGGCCCAGGACGGCCTGTCACCGAGGAGGACCCGGCCCGCAGTGTCCACGGCGCCTGGGCTGAGACCCTGCTCTGTGGCCTGTATTGGCGGGACCTGCTCACACACAGCTGACCACAGCCCGTCGGGGGCTGACGGGTGTGAGGCGGGACACAGCCCCAGGGACACTGGCCGAGTCCCTGACCCGGGCCCGACGCATCTCCCCTCTCCCCCTTCCCAGGCCGGTGCAGACGCGCCCCACCTGGGCCCCAGCGTGCGGAGGATGGGAACGCCCCCCCGGCGATGTCTCTGGGCCGCCTCCTCCGCCGGGCCTCCTCCAAAGCCTCGGACCTCCTGACCCTCACCCCCGGTGGCGGCGGCGGGCCCCCCTCCGTCCTGGATGGCGAGATCATCTACTCCAAGAACAATGTCTGTGTGCACCCGCCGGAGGGGCTGCAGGGGCTGGGGGAGCACCACCCAGGTGAGCCGGGGGGAGGGGAAGGGGGGGTCTGGGTCCCCAGTCCGAGGGAGGGAGGGACCAGGCTCCCAGGCCTGGATAGGGAAGGGACTGGGGTCACAAGCACGAGAGGGAGGGACTGGGGACACAGGCCCTGGCTTCAGAGGCTCCGGCCTCACATCCCCACTTGCCCTCACCTGGACCCCGAGGCCCCCCGACCAGTGGCGTGGCCAGCTCTCTGGGTGCTTCTGAAGGTGCTGCGTGTTCCGGGTATAAAACAGGAGGAAAAGCGTGGCCCTTGGAGAGCTTGGGGTCTAGCCCTGCCGTGATGGAGGGTGGAGGACAGAAGGGGACCGAGGTCTGGGGCCCCATTCCCTGTCCCAAAGCCACATGGTCCGCAGGCGGCAACCCTTGGCCTCCCAGCTGCACCCCTCGTGCACGGCCGGGTGACAGCCCCGAGTTGTTCTGGAACGGGAGCCACACGTGGGGCCGGGGCCCTGAGGGATGTGGGGGCCCCGCTCCCGCCCCAGGTGACTGTGCAGAACAGAGACCGGGGGCCCGGGGGGCCTGTGCCGTAGGCCCGGGAATCAGGACACCCCCAAAGGGCAGGCACAGGGACTGCCAGGGGAGGTGCCACCGTCCCCCCACCCTGAGCGGTCAGGGGCCCAGAACGCCCCACCCCCCGCTTGCTGCCGGCCTCAGAGCCCGCCCCGTGTGAGCCGCCCAGGGCGTGGCCTGGGGAGCCGAGCCCTTCTCCCAAAAGGCTGCGTCTAGGAGAAAAGATGCGGAGAGGGCCGCGGCCACTGGAACAGACCCGCACGCCGGCCGCCTGTCCCGGACTCGTTCCTGGGGGAGGGAGCCTGCAGCCTGTGCCCCCCGCAACCGGGCTGTGACGCTGCGAGCCTGTTCCCGGGCGCTGACCAACCCCAGCAGTGGACAGGGCGGGACCCCCGAGCTCGGAAAAGCCCTCACCAGGCTGAGGTTCCCGCGCTCCCCGAGCCCTGCAGTCCCAGCGGCCCACACCTGGGGCTGGGCAGTGCCTGAAGCCCCTCTGTGTGTGCACGGCCCCCCTGACCCCCGCCCTCGCCCCTGCAGGCTACCTGTGCTTGTACATGGAGAAGGATGAGCTGCTGGGGGCCACCCTCATCCTCGCCTGGGTCCCCAACTCCCGGATCCAGCAGCAGGACGAGGAGGCGCTGCGCTACATCACGCCTGAGAGCTCCCCGGTGCGCAAGGCACCCCGCCCGCGGGGCCGGCGCGCCCACAGCTCAGGTGCCGCCCGCCAGGCCTCCCCCACGGAGCCCAGGCCCGCCCTGACCCCTGGAGATGAGGACCTCCCGGGGGTGGCCCAGGGCCTCCGGGACGCTGTGCACGTCAGCCCTTCCGCCGAGGACGGGGAGAAGCTGGCCCAGGGCCCGGGGGTGGACGGCCCGCGGCCAGCCCCCTTCGACCCGGGGGCCTGGTCCAGGGCCGGTTCGCAGGACGGCGTGGAGGAGGAGGAGGAGGGGCGGGAGCCGCGGCCCGAGGCCGGCGAGGAGGAGGGCTCCCTGGAGCTGTCGGCCGAGGGCGTGAGCAGGGACAGCTCCTTCGACTCGGACTCGGACGCCTTCGCCTCCCCCTTCTGCCTGTCACCTGTCAGCGCCGCCCTGGCGGAGAGCAGCGGCGGCTCCGTGTTCCCGGAGAGCGAGAGCAGGTGAGTTCCCGCTCTGGGCCCCGGGCTCTCCAACCGGGCGCGTGGGGGACCGCCGCGGGCGTCACCGGCTCTGCGCGCTGAGGTCAGCCTGCATCCTGTCCGGCCTCTGCTGCAGGTGCCAGCTGTCCCCATGCCAGGGCCATGGCAGCGGGGTCCTGTCACTCCGTGCCACCCGAGGGCATCATGTCTACCTGGGGCCTGATGGGGGGTGGCTGTCCGGGCCACCACTCAGAGTCCTGGGGTCCTCAGGGCCTCCCAGGGGAGGCTGGCAAACCCTGGGAGGCAGGTCCCAACATCGCCCCCTGGGGGCAGCAGGCGGAAGTGAGGCCTCGGGGAGGTCACCCAGCCAGAACACTGGCCAGGCTGGAATCACCCCAGGGGGTGCACTACGGCCGAGGTGCCCAGGAGGGGCCCCGGGGGCCCCTGTAAGCCCAGCAGCCAAGGGGCAGGGTATAGGGACGTGGAACACTTTGCCGGCGTCAGCGGGGAGGAATTTGATGGGTTTTTTCTGATGTCAAACCCTCAATAAACCGCGGTCCGATAAAGCCCATGGGTGGACTGGGAGCATTTGTTCCAGGACTGGAGCGCCCACATAAAAGGGGCAGTCGGCTGTGCCCTGGGGCTCCGGGCGCCCCACGGGGTCCGAGGAGCAGTGTGGTGGTCCTCACCCGAGAGCCAGGCCGCCATCCACACGCCAGCCCCTGCCGGGGTCCCGCCCGCGGGCCCCAGGGCTCCCCCTGGTGGTGCCACGTTGTCAGCACAGCGATACCAATGTGTGCCCAGCACCCCCAGGGTCCAGGCCAAGGCACAGGTGCCCGAGCTCTTGTTTTCGCCAGACCCCACAGAGGTGGCGCGCCTGGCTGCCCGGCCGTGGCCGAGGACTTAGTGGCAGAACCGGACCCAGCGCCTGGCCTGCTCGGCTCCCTCCAGCAGCCTGAGCGCCTGTGGGGGTTGGATTTGGGAGCTGGGGGACCTGGTGGGCGTGAGGCCCGGCCGGCTCCTTCCGGTCTTGGAGCCTCTGTGTCTTTGCTCGTAAGATGGAGTGGCGATATCCGTGTTGCAGGTGCAGCCGGAGAACCCACCCCCGAGCCCCCTTCCTCTCGGCTCCGGTGGTTCTCCCCTCAGCTGCCCCGAGAGCCCCCGGGGCCTTCCGTGCAGTCCGGTGCCCGGGCAATTCCGTCAACAGTGGTTCTCCCGGGCCGCTCTGCCCCCAGGGGATGTGTGGCAGTGTCGGCGGACATTTCGGTCACCCCTGAGGGTGGCTTCTCACCAGAGGCTAGGGCTGCGCCCCCGCCGTGCGCAGGGCACCCCCAGGGCGGAGTGGTCTGGCCCCTGTTTCCCGGTGCCGCGGCGGAGAACTTCCCGGGCGCACGCAGGAAGTACGCGTGACGCGCACTGGCGGGCAGAACCGTTTCAGACTGCAATGCAGTTCAGCGGCAGTTAGTGCGCCTACAGCGCTGCACACCACCCCCTCTCGCTAGTTCCAGAACTTTCTCGTCGCCCCAACAGGGCCCCGGCCCGCCTCCCTCTCTTCCTCCGCCGGCCCCCGGACACCGCCCGTGCGGTTACACCTGGGGTCACACAGGAGGTGGCCTTTGCGTCTGATCCCTTCTACTCGGCACCCCGTCCTTGAGGGCTGTCCGAGACGCAGCGTGGGCCAGGGCTCCGTTTTTCCGGCCGGCTGGTGCTCCGGGTGGTTCCGGCCCGCAGCTGGGTTCGAGAGCACCGCCTGGCGCTGCGCGCCCCTCCGCCCAGCTCCCCGCCCCATCACCTGCCGCGGTGCTTTGGCGCCCCGCGCGGTCTGGTTCAGGGGTCGCCTGTCTGCGCGGAACTACCCGGCAGCTGGTGCTTGGGCCCCGGGCGCATTCACACACTGTGGCCGCCAGGGAGGCGCCCCCTCCCGTGCGGCCCTGGGAGCCCCATGCTGCCGCTCTTCGGGCCAGGTCCGCACGCACCCATGGTCCCGACCCCGCCGCGCACGGCACGTGGCTAAAATGTACCGAAAGTGCAGTTGGGGAGGGTTCCACGAGGGGCGGGGCCTGGGCCTGGAACCTGCATTTTCTCGTTGGAGATTTCAGTGTGAGCGAGATCTGGGCACTGGGACCCACAGCCCACGGGGGTCCCATCTCCTTCCCTGCTGCCTCTCATCTCCTGCAGCGCCCACGGGGTGATGGGACTGGAGGTCCCGGGCTCAGGAGCTGGTGGCCCTGGGCAGCACAGGGCAGACATCCCCAGCCCCCGCTGTTCACGGGGCAACCCTGAGTAGCATTAAACACTGATGCCCAGACTGAACCCAGGCCAGCGGAGCCAGGACCGCGGGGGGTGGGGCCCAGGGAAGGGCAGTGACTGAGCTCCCCAGGGGCGCGCGGGGCGCAGACCGGGTGCAGAACCCCGCCGTGAGGGGCGCCACCGCGAGGGAGGCGCGGTCCCTGCTCCTCTGGAAGAGAGGGCGTCCGGGCCGAGGTCCCGGAGTGCAGGCATCTGGCTGGGCCAGCCCGCCCTCAAGGGCATTGGCCTTGAGGACGTGCATGGGCCCAAAACTGCCCCCCGGAACAACGGTTCCTAGTTTAACTGGGAATTGGGTCCCCAGGAGGGGATGAGGTCAGGCTAGCTCATGGGATCCCTCTAGTGGTAGCACCAGGGAACTACACATGGAGGCTGGGCGTGTGGCTAGGAATGGGTGAGGAGGACGAGTCCCCCAAACATTTTGTTACGGGGCCTGCAGGACACGGTCCATCCCTGCGCCACCTGTGGGCTGTGGCCAGCAGGGCCTGGTCTCCAGATGGTGCGGCTGCATCCCTTCCCAGCCCCCGCACCGTGATGGCCAGATGCCCTCCACCCAGTGTACGCTCAAAGCCCCCTGGGGACGCCCCCCCTCCCACCGGGGTGGAGTTCTGCCAGCAGGGTTAGCTTCTGCGGCAGCTCCTTGTCCCGCACCCTCCGGCGCCAGAGGTCAAGGCTCTGGGCTGGGGTGAGCGTGAGCACCAGGCGAGATCAGTGGCCGGCTCGTCCTTCGTTTCTGTCCTGAAAGGCACCTGGTCCGGTCTCAGGGGCCAGCTGGGTGAGGCAGTAACAGAACAGGACTGCCCCCACCCCGTTCTCCGAGCCGACCCCCGGGTGGGTCCCCATGTGCACGTGGGCCGGCCCTGCCCCGTCCCGCTGAGTCAAGGGGTCTCCTTGTATCCCGGGAAGTGGTAGAAGGCGCAGAAATCGAACGCACCCGCATGAAGATGTTCGCCGCGGTGTCCTTTACAACGGGGAGAGAAAAAGACCTCCGTGTCCCTTTTGTCTGTGCACGCACGGGCGCGCACTTTCCTGAGGGGGGCCGCCAGCTGACTTCCCAGAGCCTGTGACCCCCCCCCCCAAGGTTTGCAACCTCCCCAGTGCTGCTGATGGAAGATTGTGCAGTGTTTATAGACTGTGTCTCCACTAGGAAGTTCATTGTATCGAAAACAGAGCAGGCAGTGAATTACAGGCACGTTTCGGTTGCAATCTACGGAGAGGCGGGTGCCTGGGCGAGGTTGCCCCTGCGCCCTGCCCAGCACAGCTTGGCGCCGGGTGGTGACAGTCCAGTTCCTGGCATTCTGGTGCGGCTGCCGGCTTCCTGCCACAGGGAGCCCTAACCAGTGGGACCCAGGCACTGAGTTACAAATTTCACAGAATACTGGTGAAGACAGGTTTAAACAGTGCGTGGGCCCACCGTATTGGACGGCCCAGGCCGAGGGAAAGATAGGCCAATAGGTTAGGATCGTGTACTTCTGAGTAATTTTTTTCTTTTCTCAATGTTCAAAAATGTTAGGCTGTGGTTACATGAGTCCACGTTTTCTAACCCAAATCGCCGGTTGATCCCTGCACATGGCACTCTGGCTCCCCTGCCCCTCCCCCCCTGCCCCCCTGCCGCCGCCCCGCCCCCCAGCTGGCTTGCACACTTGTTAATGAAGTAGCTCCCTGGGGCTGCCTGAGGTCCTTCGGAGGAAACTGATGCTAATGACCTGCCACCGTCCTTGTCCCCAGAGCGTGTCCTCCTTGTCCCCGCTCCCAGGGGACACGAGCGCCTCGTTTCCTTTCTCATAGGATCCTCGCGTGGCTCTGGCCTCGCTCCGGCCGTGCTGTCTCCCGGCGGTGCAGGGCGGTGGCACGCAGGTCACAGAGGGGGCGCCTCCCACGCAGGGGGCCTCTGTGGCGTCCTTGGGGCAGGGGCCCAGCCAGCTCCGGCGCCCGTCCACAGAGCCAGGTGCAGCCTCAGGGGCCTCCGGCCCACCTGCCCCAGGTCCTGCTCAGATGCCCACCTACCTACCCAGTCTCCCCTCTCAGCCCTTCCCGTGGGCCCCGGGAGTCCCAGCCTCGCCCCCTCTGCTGCGGAAGCCCCAGCCAGCCGAGGGGACCCCTCCCGGGGACCGCTGCTTGCATCTGAACTTCCCTGCGCAGAGCTCCTGCCGCCCCCTATGCGTCTCCCTCGGGTGGTGCCTTTTAAAACGCTGTCCTGCACCGTTGCCCCAGTGAGACCTAACCGTCGTCACCCTGCAGGGAGGGACGCTGTCCGGGGTGGTGCCCCCTGGGGCCACAGGGGCCATCGAGCCCTGGGGATGTGGCTGTCGTGGCTGAGAAACAGGACCTTAAATGTTATTCATCTTCAACAAATTTAAATTTTAATGGCCACACGTGGGGGGGGGGCCTTCCGTGTGGATGGTGGACGGCGCAGGCCCCGATGGACCAGGCCTGGGAGGCAGGTGACGGTATCGTCACCCCCGGCAGAGAGCAGGCCTCTAAGAGAAGGGAAAAGACCGATGAACAAGTGCCTGTCCCCCACCCCCAGGGCGGCAGGTTTCCAGGGGCGGCGGAGGGCTCAGGTTCCCGGGCAGCCCCAGGCAGGGGCCAGTGCGGAGGGACAGGGACAGTCCCTGCCAGCACCCCCCCCCCCGCCCCCGCCCCACCAGGCACGGGAGGCGGAGATAAGGGCTGTCTGAGCACGTTCTGCTGGTCACAGGCGGGTTCCCGTG